TATGAACCTCCAGACGTTGCCGAATTCCCATTTCTAAAACACGAATTTTCTGGTAAACGTACAAATATTTTTCTTCCAGTTTTTCAGCTAATGTTATTTGCAGTTTCACCAAAAGTTCCTGAAAATTTAAAGGAAAAATAATCATGACTTTCCTGAAAAATAAACATTTATTGAAGGAAATTCGGCAACTCTCGAATGTTCTTACGGCGTTCTTTCCTTAGGCAGTATTATTCAAGCGACGTCTTGTTGGTGCGTAAAAAGTTATCCCCGCCATTCAAATCCTCAAACTTTCTGTGCTTTCTGTAAAAAAGGCCTCATCGGTCTTAGCGGTCCAGTTTTACGGTTGGCGGGTTTTTTTCTCTCAAATTTTAAAATATGCCTGTGCAACGTTTCAAAGTTGCCCATTTTCCGGTGAAATATGAATTAAAAACCAAGGTAGATCAAGTTCTATGTAAAGTTTGCCGCTGAGGATGACGTCTTTCTCGATTTTTCTTTTTTGTTTTGTTATGAAATTTTATCCATGAACTATCACACGTTGCGACTTATCACACAAGGGAGAGCGCAATTACAAGTATGCATATTGGCATATATTGAAAACACGTATGATACGATGACATTTTTGTAGAGGTGTCGTCAGCTAAGTTGACGGTTGTTTACTTTCGGTTTGCAGGCGTTTTTGCGTCACTAGTATCCACATGAAAACATCTGACTCTCTCAGAAGCAAGAACACAAGCTTCGATAAGTTTTTTAATACTTTCAAACCCTCCCTGATAAAAATTGGCAATAGAATCTGTGTTTCAAAATACCACAGACCTACAACCGGCTGTAAGATCCCCAATAGCTTCTACAGCCGGCAACCCAATTTCACAGCCTTTTATAGCCGATGGCGATTAAGCAACAGCCTGGCGATAAAGTGTATGCTAAAAGTTACTAATTACGGGTGCTAGGACTTAGTGAGTTTTCTGACTACCGCTCTCTTTTTGGGCTGTAGTATCTTGATTTATTTTGCGAGGAAAGCTCCGTACTTTTGAAGGACGCCTGCCATTCCTAATATGTTGGAGCGCCTTCAATTTCGTATGATACTGTGCAATACCTCTGGTGTGAAATAGTTGCTTCAAGCGCCGTGGTACGCTGCGGCGTGGCGCGGCGGGCGGGCAGCCAGCGCGAAACGAGCATTGGCGCCTACAAACCTAACAGGGATACTTCACGCATTGCGCAATGCGTGAAGTATCCCTGATAGGTTTGTAGGCGCCAGTCCGCCGCCGCTCCGCTTTGTGTTAGGCTCTAATATTTAATCTCGTGGAGTCAGCGTTTTTCAACTCATGACTTTGATATGTTTGCAAACTCTGTATGGATTATTTTCATTGTAATTGATGAATAAAAATATGTAGTAAAGGAAAATATAATGTGCGTTTTGTAAATATTAAGGTGATTCCGTACAAACTTAAGGATTTACAAAGCACTCAAATTTCTACACAATTTCTTACAGCCTCTTATAATCGATGGCGAAAAAGCAACAGCCAGGCGATAAAGTGTAAAGCCCGGTGATAGGAACTCTAGCCCGGCTGTGTAATTTTTTATCGCTTTGTGTAGCCCGGCCGTATAATTTTTTCCACTTTCTACAGCCAGCTATATGATTTTCAATCGCCTTCTTCAATCGGCTATAAGAACTCCTATGGTATTTTGAAACGCAGCTCCTATCGCCAATTTTTACCAGGGTTGTATTGCTTTAATTTTTAGCCACACAGAAATCACAACCACAAAAAAGTCGCAAATCATGACTGATAAGTAGTTTTTTTACGATACGATCATGAGACTGATGGTGTTGATGTTTTTAGTGTGGATAGAAGCGAACGCCGCTTTGTTCAGAGGCCCAAATTTGTCGTTGACGCTTGTAAACCGAAAGTAAACAACCGTCAACTTAGCTGACGACTATAACACACAAAAATTGTGCTTCCGCACCTCTCGGTGATATTAGAGCATGTGGGTATAATGAGCATGTCAGAAAAACTATTCACTGACTATTTATTCAAATGAAAACGCGCGGAAAAAAATGGATTGCTAATTTAACAATTATTGCTCAAAAATGTGTCAGGCGTGTTTCAAATGTATATTTTACTACACTGAAGAGCTAATTTAACCACGAAGGTGGTTAAATTCACAATTTTTTATTGTAAAATTCACATCGAAACATGTCGGACACTTAAATAACTACAAAATTGTTAAATCAGCCAATAAGGCAAAAAAAAAAGAAACGTTGGAAATCGAAGCAGACCCACTTTTTAATTGTTCCATCAATAAATGTATCCACAATATCAGTGAACGAGGGATGAACGTTGATTCATCCATTTTAATTAAAATGACAATACGAGTCTGCGTGGTCTTTGTTTATATCACACATTGGCGTATCGTATCGTCCAGCGTGAATCTCTTTTCGACATGATGGCGGAAAAAATTGCGTATTTGTTGTGTCCATATTCGCTGCTGGAAATGCACCCTACCATGACTTATTTTCTTTTCCTCCGCACGAACTGTGGAGTGGATTCTCGCGAGCCCCATTTTCAATCACTGGAGAGGATGAGCTGGTTAGATTCTTCCTGAATCTGATTTTGATTAAAGCCTGCGTAGAGATGAAGAAGTCAAGTTGAATGTAATATTTCAAAGAATCTTTTGCCTCAGGCGCAAATTTCTGGGACGGTTAAGTCACTCACACACAGTCCAAAATAGACTGATTGATTGAAAGTGTTATGTTACGAGACACAGCGAAGGCGAAATGATGTTTCTTCATTTCCGCCGTAGATCGATAGTGTTATTGAAGAATTTCCAACTGAGCATTGCTGCCCGCTAATTGGACGATATTAACGGCATTGACCAGAATCAGCTTAACTACACCGTACGTTGCCTAATTTCCTCTCATGTTTTATTTTTTAAAAGATAACGAAGCAACTTCCTGGCTCCAAAATGTTTGAGTACATTTGTTTTACGCTATAATACTGGTATGTGGCAGGTGTGCGTTGCATTAGTTTCATAATGCACCCCTAGTGTTTTTACAGATAGACTAGAGATTTTAATTCCTAATTGGAAAATGTAGTCCAATTTTTAGTCTTCGGGTTGAGTTTTACGTTCCTTTGCCCGGAATCCGACAATATACTTTGATTGGGCAGGTACATTCAGAACACATTTTGCGAATAAGAATGACAGTTTCTGGCTCAGTTTAGAAATTGCGTATGTACCACTAGCCTCCCTATGTACATAACATTTTTTACAGACGAGCCAAAAATTTTAGTTCCCAATTGCAAAATGAAGTCCATTTTCCAGCCACTGCCCCGAGAGTATCCCTGCATCCAATTTTCATAGTCAAAACAGAGTACTTCCGCGTTTTTCCGGCCTGAGAAGTTGTAGAGGATGTGAAATTATTTAAGGCATTGATTGAAAGCTCACAATCAGTTTGAAAGGTGGCCGGGTCTGTAGCCCATTAAAGATACACCGGTGCCAATGCACCCGCCCTCCCAGTTTCCGCCTGGGGATATACCATAATAAATTATTCGAGGTCAGGCGGGGCGCTACGGCGATGTTGCCAGATAAACTTCGAAGCTATATATCTGCAGGAGAGCCGAATCAGGCTCAAAGTAAGCTGCCTTTCGTTGCAACGCATTGCATTACCTCAAAACTCCTGCCGATGGATACTTATACAGGGTGTTTTAGACCACCTGGACCAGGCTTTTTGCACGGTTATTTTAGGTCGGATGAAGTCGGAGACTGCAGGGTCGAATACTTCCGTGCTGAGGAAAAACGCCGTATGAACTTCGATAGTTGCCAAATTTCCCCAGATTAATCATATATTTTTAGGAAGTTACGCATGTTTTTCCTTGAAATTTTCAGGTATTTTAGATCAAATCGCGAACAAAATCGTCTGAAAAATTTGAAGCAAACAATAAAAAAAAAATTCAGTAAATTTGGTGTTTATTCAGGGGAATTTGGCAACGCCTAAGGGCTCATGCGGCGTTTTTCCTTCGCGCGGCAGAATAGGGCATTGTGGCCTGGTTACACGCTCAAATTTCCGTCAAATTCCGATCAAAATGATGACCAAGATGGCGGTCGAGAGCTATCTAGATTGATGAGTAAAATTAATTAAAACAGCGTGTTGATTGAAATAAGCATGAAATAAGCACGGTTGTGTGGAAATCAGATGAAGGATGAGCCCCACGGCTCCATCATCTACCATCAAATTTTTGCAGGCCGCAGACATTTGATGGTAGATGGTGCGCACCAGTCACCATTTGATCGGAAATTGATGGAAATTTGAGCGTGTAACCAGCACAGTAATCTCAATAAGGTATTCAAATTTCGTGCCAACTCGACACTCGCTCCAGGAGGTAAAAGGGGTCGTGACTCTAACAGTTGGGGTGTCCGTTAAATTTTGAAAATATTCTATCAAATTCACATAAGCAAATTTTACCCCATATCGATGCCATGATATCCAAAATTGGACCTTTCTTGTTAGGAATGTTGACCCTTATAAATGGGGGATAGGGCCCTTCTCCCAAAAATTCAATATCACCAGATTGACGTAGAGGCTTAAGAAAAATATATTTTCCTGAGTAACTGAGCACAATGAATCCCAATTTAACAGCCCTAAAGCCCCCAAAACATTTTCTGATGTGGTCCTTAATTAAAATGGCAGCCCTGTCAATGTATTTGCTCCCTATCTTCGCATGGATAGATTCGTCTTGATGTAGACGTGGACCCTTAGGATAGCGTGGGATATTCCCTCCATTTTGGCCTCAACTTGAGAGCTTTTTATAAGCTTTGGAGTTGATTTCAGAGAATACCAGTGGCACCGCCGTGTTTCTCGCGAACTTGTACATAAGAATCAATGGTCAAATCGCAAATTCCTCAAACATGAAACATCTATCTCCATTGTGGCTCGACGTGACTTTGCGATTTGTGGTCTAGCTGAGTACTCGATTATTAATGCATCGTCTATGTTTGATCCACAGGCTAGCGTTGAATTTGAAGTTTGCTACACACCACCGGTGGACACGCCGTCAACGACCTACAGCTCTTGGGTGGGCTCGCAAACCCTGGACACCGATCAGGAAATGCTCATGAGAGTCGAGGAGAACATCGCGCACTTGGAGCGGAACTTCCTGGACAGGAGGAACAGCGTCGGATCGCAAATGGGTTCTCTGGATCAGCCTGACCTCGTCCTCCACCCTCAAAGCTCACCCTACAATTCCGGATCCGAAAAGTCGCCGGAGAAAAAAAGGTGATTTTTTTAACATCACCGAAAAAAAGAGGTGCTGTAATAACATTCTGGGTCTTAAAAAAATGTGCGACAACTCTTTGATGTTGTCATTACCACTCCGGCTGTTAAAATAACATCCTAGGATGTTCCTTTTACATTCTATCATGTTACGTTAACTGCCAGAGTGTTAATAGCAATATGCAAGAGTTGTCGCACATTTTTTCAACAACCGTAACTTCCGGGACGTTACTACAGCATCTTTTTTTTCGGTGTAGGTCTACTTGGGATTATAAAAGGCGGATTCTCATGCAGAAAGAGAACAGTTTACGGTACAATTGCTATATTTTTTGCCTTCATTAAAATTTTATGTAGAAGCACGCACCAAAAAAAAAATTGAAGTCGATCTAACATTCTGGATGTAAAAAAAGTGTACGAGAACTTATAAAATGCTGTATTATCCGCTATATCAGTTACTTTAGCTATGCCAAAACGTAAAACTAACTGCTGTAGCGGGTAATTTGGCATTTTATAAGTTTTCGCACACTTTTTCACATCCAGAATGTTAAATCAACTTCACTTTTTTTTCGGTGCGTGGTTGCAAACTGTCAGATTCCAAGCTGAGCGCCTGGATGCAAATATTTGTGCCCCAGGGTTGTCCACGCTGCATCAACCAAAAATGAAGGCGCTTTGACTTCTCAGTGTCATTCCAAGTCAGCAGGTATCGCAGTACCGTTTAGATTAAATTATTACGTGTTTCTGTGTCATCATTACGTCATTCAGATGTTTGTCACATCCTTGCACATGTTTGCAAGAGAGAGGTATAACTTGCATTGATCAAGCCAAAAGTTGATGAAATCTTGATATACTTAAGGGAGTTTAGGAAAATAAAACTTGAGGTGAAGAACACAACAAAAAACGAGAAAAGGCTACCACGGAGTTACGAGAAGAATTTGTCGCTCCTCTATCGTAGGGGCGTATAGCTTTACGTCCATAAAATCCTTGGAAAGCATAGAGTTTTACGGATCACAAAGATCACGTGTAAACTGAGATCCCCCTACCGTCAGGGAAATTGAGAATTCTGCGTCGAGCATTGCGAATATTGAAAAATAATACGAAGTTTTGGAAATTGGTTCAAAATGGTTCAAAGTGGTTTCAAACTTAAAAATAAAAAAAACAACGATTTCGGAAGAAAGCGCATACTTTAAAACTGCAAGACATTTAAAATTTTATTCGCGAATTTGGAAAAGATTAAACCAATTTCACCGGAAGAAATCTATTCCAATTTGTAAAAATATTAATTTTTACTAATAAATATTAACATGTCTCTATCCCGTGTTTATTTTTTCAGGCTAACCCTGAAAAACAGTGTTAAAAGTCTGATGAAATTAGGAAAACAAAGGCCCTCTAAGGACAAGGAAAAACTCATAAGAGACGACAGTCATGGTCAACGGGATATTCAGATGGGCCAATCGGAACCTGTCATTAGACGCACAACAAGCGTCACATCTATATCATCAGATAACGAATCAGTTTGTTCCAACCCGGAGTTCCCATCGAGAATTCAAAGGTAAGAGAGAAAAATTAAAAACTAACAAGAACATTTGTCAAGATTTTTATACTTTTTAAAGCATCTTGTTCGGTCCCATGAGCAGAAACAAAATATCTACGAGGGACTCCTCATTAAATGAGTTAAACCGCAAAGGCTTTATTTTCATCCGTTTACTCTTAATCCTTTTTTTTCACAACGACGGCATTTCTACTTTGATCATTTTCTTCTTTTTTACTGACCTATTCTCCCGACCGCTTTTCTAGATTTTAAAGTTGAGACCTGAATGGGTCTGAGAAACCCCGAGAGAGATTTTTATACGGTGATTTTAGGAATGCATCACAGAGAATTGTAAAACAAGGAAAAAGAGTGAGAGTATGCTTTATCCGTAAAATACGGCAATAGTGCAGGTTTATTTCTCCAGAATTCCAAGTATTTACTGCAAAGAATGATAAAAAAGACCCTGATAAACGAGAGAAAAATGTAAGCAGCTCACCAAATTTCCGCAGAATTTTAATCTAAATATCACGAGCTGTTCTTTGTTTTTCTTATCTTTCCTTTCTTTCGAGGCTCTCAATCTAGTCTAACCAATTCAAAGGTAATTTGTCTGTATTGTCCCCTTTTTCTAAAAGAAACCAGTATCTTTATTAATTGATGCATTCACGAATTTTCGGTTGTCAGTCCGAATCCGTGTCTTTTTTATCGGTTAATGATTTTTTTATTATATTCTACGCACGGCATTTTATTGGCCCAAGAAACTTTCAATTTTAAATTGCATGGATTTCAATTGATGTGGCTCTTAAACTAGTGAGATACACAATGCATAAATCTTAGTTGCATGGGGTCTGAATACGCGTTCTTCGAATTTATTTGAGAGGCTTGGAGGACAAGGCGCATAATCGCAGTTTATGAAAAAATTGAGATATTTATGATTTCAAGTAAAACCAGTCTTAATGCATTTTCTGTGAAAAATTCGCTCCCGAATTCCAACTTTGAATCATCAAAAAGTCAGTTTGAATTTTCTCTCCGCCATAAAGATCTGTGTAATTTCGAAACTTCAAACACGTGTTTCTCGAAGTAGAAAAATCTGCACTTATGCGCCTTGTCCTCCAAGCCCCTTTACACTGACATTGTGGTAAATTTCACAAAATCAGCATTTTTAGCTTTTCATAATGTTGCTGAAAAGGCTTCATTCTTTTAAGAAACTGCTAAAAGTCTTCTGATGAGTATATTTGTGTTTTATGTTGAACGTTACTTACTGCAAATTTAGAAACTCGTGAAAGATTATTTCTCTTTTTGTTCTATCTAAAATGTAAAACGACCCCAGACGGATTTCTAATGAAGATAAAAGATTTTAGCTGGAGGTGAAGTTTTCAGAGACGAAGCTCCCTACATTTTGTAAAACCCTCACCGTAGTTAATTTTACCACTTTTTCTCATCGAAGTTTGTTGATCAATTAATTTGGACTTCATCGAAAGGGTATCCCTGGGTAAGGGCACCAAAATGCCCCTCGTCACAGATTTTGAATTTAATGGTCTAAACCCTTTCAGGAGGTCCTAAAAATATGGTTTTGGGCAATTTTACCCTCCTGACCCCAACCACCCCCCCTCCAGCCCCGAAAAACCCATTTTTCGGGGAATTTTGGGGGTATTTTCACGTTTTATTTCATATCTCCCGCAATTTTCGATAAAAATGCACCAAAATTTCACCAATTACACATCAGACCAGTCAGATTCTCAAAATATTCAATTCCCAGCTCTGGGACTTCACTTTCCCCTTCTTGCACTCCTCTTACATAATATGTATGGTGCCATGCTTAGGAAAAACGCCGTATGAACCTTCAGGCGTTGTCAAATTTTCGTTGGTAAATCACGAATTTTCAGGGAATTTTGTAAATATTTTTCTTCCAATTTTTCTGATAACTTTGTTCGCAATTTTACCCAAAGTTCTTGAAAATCTCTCGGAAAAATATTCATAACTTTCCTTAAAAATAAACATTTTATTGAAGGAAATTTGGCAAATCTCGAATGTTCATACGGCGTTCTTCCGTAGAACGGCAGTATACTGCTTGTACCACCTATTTTTTGTATCGTTATCCACATTTTACACTCCCCCTTCCCCACCTTTCTCTCTCTCTTTTTGAACTCAATCAGGACAATCATTATGGCGTGAGCGGTTTGTCATTAAATTATTCAAAACAAGGTTAGACCCGGGAGCTCGAAATAGCTGTGCGTCGGGAGCAGTTGTTTCCTCTCGGATTTTAAAGTTGAAAACTTTTTCACGATAGCCGTACGAAAAGAAAACACGGTTCTATCACCCAGCTGAGTCGCAGCGTTGATCACACTCTATATAGGGGGAAAGTTCGAGGAAATTATTCTCAGAGTTAAGGGTATCCCTGGGTAAGGGCACCAAAATGCCCCTCGTCACGGATTTTGAATTTAATGGTCTAAACCCTTTCAGGAGGTCCTAAAAATATGGTTTTGGGCAATTTTACCCTCCTGACCCCAACCACCCCCCCTCCAGCCCCGAAAAACCCATTTTTCGGGGNTCCGTAGCACTTTTCTTCAAGAATCTGATAAGATTTTGCTTGAGGCAGATCAAAAAACTTAAATTCGATCGAATAGCTTTCTACTTTCACAATACACGGTCTCGTCAAGGTGCGGTCTTTGACCTCGCAGTGTTGGATCGTGAATTCTCTTTTTATGCTGTTTGCCTATTTTGAAATCTCTGTAAATGAAAACTAAAGGGGTTGATATGTGCGAGTTAATGACGCGCCTTATCAACACATTGTGTTGGAGTTCACTGCTTGTTTTATTATATTCTACGCACGACATTTTATTGGCCCAAGAAACTTTCAATTTTAAATTGCACGGATTTCAATTGATGTGACTCTTAAACTAGTGAGATACACAATGCATAAATCTTAGTTGCATGGGATCTGAATACACTTTCTTCGAATTTATTTGAGAGGCTTGGAGGACAAGGCGCATAATCGCAGTTTATGAAAAAATTGAGATATTTATGATTTCAAGTAAACCCAGTCTTAATGCATTTTCTGTGAAAAATTCGCTCCCGAATTCCAACTTTGAATCATCAAAAAGTCAGTTTGAATTTTCTCTCCACCATAAAGATCCGTGTAATTTCGGAACTTCAAACACGTGTTTCTCGAAATAGAAAAATCTGCACTTATGCGCCTTGTCTTCCAAGCCCCTTTACACTGACATTGTGGTAAATTTCACAAAATCAGCATTTTTAGCTTTTCATAATGTTGCTGAAAAGGCTTCATTCTTTTAAGAAACTGCTAAAAGTCTTCTGATGAGTATATTTGTGTTTTATGTTGAACGTTACTTACTGCAAATTTAGAAACTCGTGAAAGATTATTTCTCTTTTTGTTCTATCTAAAATCTAAAACGACCCCAGACGGATTTCTAATGAAGATAAAAGTTAGTTTTTAGCTGGAGGTGAAGTTTTCAGAGACGAAGTTCCCTACATTTTGTAAAACCCTCGCCGTAGTTAATTTTACCACTTTTTCTCATCGAAGTTTCTTGATCAATTAATTTGGACTTCATCGAAAATTAACTCTGAAAATAATTTTCTCAAACTTTCCCCCTATATAGAGTGTGATCAACGCTGCGACTCAGCTGGGTGATAGAACGGTGTTTTCTTTTCATTCGGCTATCGTGAAAAAGTTTTCAACTTTAAAATCCGAGAGGAAACAACAGCTCCCGACGCACAGCTAATTCGAGCTCTCGGCACTAACCTTGTTTTGAATAATTTAATGACAAACCGCTCACGCCATAATGATTGTCCTGATTGAGTTCAAAAAGAGAGAGAGAAAAATGTGGATAACGATACAAAAAACAGGTGGTACAAGCAGTATACTGCCGTTCTACGGAAGAACGCCATATGAACATTCGAGATTTGCCAAATTTCCTTCGATAAAATGTTTATTTTTAAGGAAAGTTATGAATATTTTTCCGAGAGATTTTCAAGAACTTTGGGTAAAATTGCGAACAAAGTTATCTGAAAAATTGGAAGAAAAATATTTACAAATTTCCCTGAAAATTCGTGATTTACCAACGAAAATTTGACAACGCCTGAAGGTTCATACGGCGTTTTTCCTAAGCATGGCACCATACATATTATGTGAGAGGAGTACAAGGAGGGGAAAGAGAAGTCCCAGAGCTAGGAATTGAATATTTCGACTGTTTTTGCCTCTCAACAGCGCAGCTTATAATATTAATGACCGCTTCATTCATGAGAGCGTAAAACAGCGTAAAATCGTCGTTCCTCTCGGACGAAGAAACGTAACTTCATTCAAACTCCGCAAAATTCATTCAAACAATTCAATATTTTACAAGAGTGTACCTGTGCTATTTTCGTCCGAAATTTATGTTATTTTTGCTTGAGGTCAGAAGAAAAATCCGTGAAATCTTGAGTTAGAAATGCCCAAAATTCTCCCGGTAACATCGAAATTTGCGGGGAGAAATTTGGCAACATCGGAATGTAGTTACGTTCTCTTGCGGGAGGAACTACGAAACGTGTGAGCTATCCTGAAAGTATCTTCCACGTATTTTGGAACTCATGAGGGAAGTAATGGAACATTCATATTTAACAGTGATTCGCTAGATTAAGTAATAAAAGTTTGATCCTATTTTACATTACAACGTTTGCCGTGCTGCTAATTTGAACAGCTAATTTTAATTTTTGCTGCTTTGAAAAATAGGGTATTTTTCACGCACGATTAATTTAGATCATTCCAAAAACGTCATTTGTATTTTTATCGTTCAGCCATTGGTTATTTCCACATGCACAACTTACATGTTGCGTGAGACTCAATCTCCAGACTTTCCGTTGGGACATTTGATTTTCTCTAACGTTTTGAATGGATAAAATTTGCTGCGTAACGATTAAATTTATACCTTGACTAGTTGTAAATTATTGCGAGATTAATTTTCCTACGCAGCGTTTGTTTGTTTGTTTGTTCGTTGGTTTGTTCGCTGGTTTGTTTGTTCGTTTGTTCGTTTGTTTGTTTGTTTGTTTGTTTGTTTGTTTGTTTGTTTGTTTGTTTGTTTGTTTGTTTGTTTGTTTGTCTGTTTTAAAATCTTTCTCTACAGTTCCAAATAATATTCAGATTTGCTGTACATGCGTGACAAAATTTAAAAAAGATCTTTTGAATCAAATACAATATTTATTACGTTGTAATCGAATGCCTACAAAACTTTTAATATCGAGCCTTCCATTACTTTTCAGTAAGTTGAAAAAACTGCCGGACGAATGTCAAAGTCTGCTGAAAGCTCAGGATTTCCAGATCTGCATCACTATAATCGAAGCGCGTCAGCTGGCAGGGCTCAACATGGACCCGGTCGTCTGCGTCCAAGTCGGGGATGTCAAGAAATACACGAGTGTCAAAGAAAGCACCAACTGCCCTTATTACAACGAGGTGAGTGACAAATTTCAGACCGACGAAACACTTACTATCATCTTCAAGACCAGAATCTCATCCAATAGGTTTGACTATCTTAATTATTGACTACGGACTTAACGCCCATCACCTTAAGTTTATTTCAAAGAAATATGCTACCGGAAATAAGTGTACCTGACATCGATACGTCGCATGCAATTAGCAATCGCTGGCAATTTACAAGCCGGTGGTGAATAAATATAGAAAATCATAGAATTCAAAAATAAAATGACGAGATTAGAGTGCTGACTATGTTGTCTGTAATGTGAATAGACACTTTTTCATCCTTAAAAACATGACAGGAATATGCACACTTAGAAGAGCGTGTAGTGAAACTCTGTGACATTATAGTTGGGTTGAGATCGGACAGGCAACTAAACTAACTTCGTGACAAAGCGTACAGTATCACAAAAAATGAAGGCGCTTCAAGCCGAGCTCATACTTTTGAAGACCATAACCCTTAAAAATTGCATTATGCCGATGCGCTTCCTTGCGATTTACTGAAACAAAGTGTGAACCGCTTGCAAATTGCCGGCGATTGCTAATTGCCTGCGACAGATACATCGATTATATCGATAGATATGCCATGCTTTGATCGAGTATGGTCTGAAGAATGTTTCCTCCTTCGACCTTTATTTTTGAATTAGAATATTTTTCAAGCCCTCAAATATTATTGTACCAAACATATATTCGTCAAGTGTATCGAAGGCGTCAGTCCACGACCACGTATTTTGCTTTGCGACGTTGCAGACTTTCTGTCATATTTTATTTTTTAAGTAAAAAACTATACTCAACGGCAAATCTCGAAAACTGCTATAATTTTTCTTCATCATTCGAAGAAGGTTCTGCGAAAACTTTGAGGGCATGATGTCGATTTGTTCTCCTTCAAACAAATAAAATAGGGGCGGATATTTTCAAACGCTGCAAGCAAGACGCGTGATTTCGGACCCACACCGTTGATATGATTTAGGTCAATTCAGGTCATCATTATAGATAAACACATCAGAACGAAGGAACTCTTTGTCTCGCCCTTTTCGCCGAAATCTCCTAAAATATCCCGAATCTCACACACTTTTGTCTTTTTACCAATATTTTGAAAATAGAAAATCTGCCTAATTGCTTTTTTTATTTCTCTCCCCCTATTCCTCCTCCCTGTCTCCCTCCCTGTCTCCCTCTCTCTCTTCCTTCTCCCTTATTTAATGTCCCGTATTATCATCGTAATATCATCTCTTTCTGCGGATACGGAAACTATCTAGGCCAAATAATTTATTTACATTACCCATCAATAGTTTTTGAAGAGAAATAAAAAGTGAAAGTGCACTAACTGACGACACGGACGTTTTAGCCCGATGCATTTCGCCTTCAGATGTATGAGTAGGCAAAGTGAACTACTTAGGAGCTTGAATAGTTGCTTGTGGCTCACGCTTCAAAAGCGCAAAAGAAGCTTCTTTTCAGTCCTTCCCTTGATGTTGCTTTGTGGATAGACAGGAAAAATGTCAGATCTGATTCCATCTGAGCACAACGTCTTACGAATATATTATTTCTGCAAAAAAAGGAGATATAATTCATGTTAGCTAAACTGAGTATACCATGTAAAAGTATGAAACTTGAATGGAATTAGCTAAATTCATAATATCATGGATTTTTTTGTTCACAGTACTTCGTATTTGATTTTCATATGCCAGCAATAATGCTCTTTGATAAAATCATCTCACTATCGGTAAGTCATTTTAAATCTTTTTTTTTTTTTTTTTTTTTTTTTTTTTTTTTTTTTTTGGATTAAGGCACATAATTTCTGATAAATAAAAAAATGATGTGTTACTACATGATAATTTTCTGTTCCAACGACCTATTCTGACTGTATATTTCAATAACCTACCTTATTAGAAACCATTTTCATTGTCCTACAATTTCGTTTTAAATATGCAGCGGTGCTTTAAACCTTAACGTGTCATTTTTCCCTGTACGTAGTATACAAATACATTTTTGATTTATTTTTGGTGTGTATGTGTGTGTGACTGCACAAACTTTCAGTGCAATCTTATCGACCAGGTTCACCGCACAACAACCCACACCTACAACAAGATTTGCAAGCTCACAATCCCCAGGGATTTGACTTGGCAACTTTAATATCGCTCATAGAACTTTCTATGTGCGATGCTCAAACGATCTCCTGCTAGATGCAAACTTAGCAGAATTTTTTTTCATTTACACATTAACACGTGCAGTAAAAAAACCGCTCTAAAAACTTTACACAATCTTTGCAATTCAGTTCAGATTGAAAAAGTTGTAAAAATAATAATAAATAAAAAAGCAATGAGAATGGCACGAGCCTTTAGACCGTGTACACTATAACACATTTTGGATGGGTTGGAGATAGATAACATGCAGGTAAGACATTGTAGATCACAGTCGTATCTAATAACTGTGCTTTTGTCGCTAATAACCGTATTTCTTGTCAATAAAATAATTTGTAAAATTCCATTAATTTGAAAAAAAAATTATTATTGAAAATTTTAAAAAATTTAAAAATTTCATATATTATTAAAAAAATTTCCCCGCAGAAAAAAGTTTTCTCGGTTGCCAGGATACTAAAGAGGGTCGCTATTCATCCTTGCTGTTTCTGTATGTGTACAGTTCTTTATGAGATCCATTGACTGGAAACGGCTTATTGTGTCAGACCGTGTTTTAGGTGTTACAGTCACGGAGATTGTTACGTTCCGGTTCTGTTGTTGGAACGTTTAAAATGGATGTGCGCACTGTCTACGATACTATCGGTATTATACTAGCTTTCTTTTCGCTTCTCAGAACCGCATTCTTCTCAGTCGTCTGACTTGTTTTCATGCGTATTTGGTGTGTGCCTCTTCTGTACTGTTACTTGTGCAAAAACTACGTTCTGCCTTCGTCCAGCTTTAAGTGTGAAATGGTCTCACGTCCTCTTTCAACAGATTCTTCTGCCTGCGCACGGGCCAATTATTACTGAGAGGGTTCAAAAATTTCTAAAGGGTCGACTTAAAGTCCTGTACTCAATTTCTACAAATGGGTCGATTGTGCTGGTCACAGAATCATGTTTCAATATTTGGTTCGTGTAGATTAGCTAAAAGTAATAAGATCCGTCCAAACAGCAACTTTCTACGTTCAATAGTAACCATGATATCGCCCTTTGAAAAATCGGGTTTTTGACGTCATCCACCGCGGTATATTGACATCTTTGGTTACTTCCACCTTGCTTTCACCAGTCGGTGTGACGCACATTTGCAATGGTTACTCAACGTGAAACTTGGATGAAAGCAATATGAGAGAAACCAAGGGTGTCACTCCCGCGATGGATGACGTCAAAAATCCGACTTTTCAAAGGGCGATATCTCGGTTAATATTGAACGTAGAAAGTTGCTGTTTGTACGGATCTTATTATTTTTAGCTGATCTGCAAAAATCAAAACACGATTCTGTGATCAGCGCAACTGACCCATTGTCCTAAAGTTAAAATTGGAACAGCGAATCATGACTTCATGAGGGTTAGTGGTAACTGAAGTTCCCTTTACTTCTCTTCTTCTCCCTTGCATCGTGGTCTAAACAAAAATGCCGTAACAAAAGTGACGTCATTTATCAGAATGATTTCAGCAAATTACTGCATTGGGAACTCAGGCTAACAAAGTAAAGCATATTGCGACGATATGGTTCTCTCAGATCATTATGAAAATGAAAAATTGAAAATTTGAAAATGAAAATTTTTGCCTGGGAATATGTGGCGTTATAAATGTAAATGACAGTGGGACACATAAAACGCCATAAAGAGGAAGAGTCATGAGGTTTTAGTCCACCTCCCCCATTCCTTTTAGAAAAATGCTGTAATACACGCTCTTAAGTCCACAGCAAAAATCGGTAAATTTTTGAACTCTTTCAAACGCGGGGACCTCGCATAGAGACAATTTCGTCTCCAAGTTTATTTTCCAAAGGAGCATTTCCCCATTATTTTACCGTTGTCTCATCTGAGTACCCTTTTCCACCTCACTGTTTATATCCTGGTGTGTTTGTGCTCTTCCATGTGATAATCTTTTCTTTATTCTCTATGTTTTGGTATTCGAAAGAATCTCAGCTTGGTTTTACAGAGTGTCATCTTGTTTCGCAAACGGTTCCTTTAAAGTTATACGAAAAATGTTGACTCCGCTCGTTACAGAGAAACAGTCCTCCGAATTTAAGGTGTCAAAATACAGCGCAGTACAAACTTAAGACCGAATATATTTGCCGGGTTTCATTTCTCTTTCTGTCGGCCAATTTCACAAATTCTCCTATGTTTTAATTTTCAAAGATAAGAATTTCATGAAGTCCATTTAAATTTCATCACTTTGATTTACAAAATCACGATCAAAGTGCAAGTTAAAGAGATTAGTCAGCTTATATGTAAAAAGGTTTGTCGGAAAGAAAAATGCATGCATCTTCGCGCTATGCATCTATCGGACGAATCAGAAACTATCACGGCTCTCTCGAAGGTTATTTCCAGCTTAATGTAATGATCAGAAAACCAACATTATGCAGTATTTAAAAAAATGAATGAATGAACAAAAATCGAATCATAAAAATGTTTTGTCCTCTCTTCTGTGACAGGGAAAGGAGGAAAATGAGAGGAACTTTGGCAACATGTTTTCCCTTTCTCTCAGAATTTGCATCTCTTAATAAAAAAGATTATCTGAATCTCAGTAACAATTAAGCCTCCTGGCATGGATTTAGTAAACGCCGCCGACGCACCGGAGGTAGAGCCTAGAGCCCCCCTTATGCACATTTTGGAGAATGAATATTTTATACTCTCGGGATTTTCATGTACCCGGAAAGACACCCTTTATTTATCCTCGCAAAGGTTTGTCAGAGCTGATACCCATTTAATTATTAACCAGGTGACTTGGTTAGATAAATTATGCACCTCCACGCAAATCCTTTCTCGAATCCGTTATGTCAATGGGCTTAGCTTCATTGCAGCGAAGAGTTATGAGAGTAGGCATTTTAGTGCGGCGAGAAATAATTTAATCAGTCCGAATAAATTAGGGTATTAAAAAATAGAAGGTGTATTGGTGATTAATATATAAAAAGTAGACACGCAATATTCACGCCTTTTAATGTAAATTAGAATCTTAAAAACCCCAAGGGTGGCAATCGGCCGATATCGTCCCCTTGAAAGTCGCTTTCAATTTTGCCGCGTAGGCAAAAAACACAGACGATGGTGCGCAAATCGTTCGCCAGTTGAGCGATTTTTGAAATTGACCAAACTCAATCTCATAAATAAAATTGCAAGGGTCGAAACCTTGTGTTCCTTAATTTTGAGGAACCGCCGGGCCGATGTCCTTGATTTTTGTTGCAAACAAAAGCTGTTGATGTCCAAATGATGCCATAAATCTGAGGTTTTCAATATCCGCTCTTGAAAGTTTTCCTGGAGTGGAGTGAGTCATAATCGAGGGTCCAGGTGCGGAGAATTATTGCTAAAATTTGCCTTTTGACAAGCTGACTCTCCTTTGATAAGCAGATCGCTCAACACTACTCATTTTATACAAATTCATCTAAAATTATGGTGCGGTCCCTGCAGGAGAAAAGAATTACACAACTTGAGTGGGAACTGCGCACGCATCAAAACAAAACTGAAAAATAGGAGCTTTGATTTGGGTAAAAATATTCTTGCTAAGTAAATTTCTTCTTGAATCAAGAAGCATCAAAGAAGCAGGTTCATAAAAGCGACCGTCCCTTTAACAAAAAAAAAATCTTATTGGCCGAAAATTCAAGAGCGTTTTTGCTTAAATTATTCCAGTGAACAGATGCAACTTCTCCAAGGATCGGAAAAAAAACATAGAACGGCCAGAGGTGCACCGTCTATTTTCTTAGAGACTATAACGGGAGACGCAAAAACAACAACTCCGGAAAATAAACGCGGCAGCCGGACTTATTCCACTGCTTTCGGGAAATAATTACGTGTCAAATTAATTTTGAGCTGCTTGATTTTCGTTAAAGTGCCGTAGGACGTTAGGACTTCGAGCCGAGTCGCAGCGTTGCGGAATTTCATTTAAAAGTACGACTTTCATCTGCGCCCTTTTACTAGGGGAGCACCTGGAAATATCGGCAACACCATAGTTAAGTGAGGAGAGGAAAATGAGGTAGCGACGCGTCCGGAATGCTGAAAGGAGACGTGCATCTTTCAGCAGAAATTAGACCTGTCAGCAGCTTAGCTTGCGTCGGTTGGCGTCTTGTGGCTGGAATGGCGTTCGTTTTCAATTCGCCACTCTCGCAGGAGAACAATAAAGGTTCCTGATCGCGAATGAATGGTTTGACGGTATTTTTACTTTCTCGCGCCGTTCGAGCTCGGAGTGCTTTTGTAATTTTGTTCCGGGAAAATAATACTCGTAAGTTTTCCGGATCATCGATTTCGCCGCTCCTCTGACTTGAGGGCGTTTTGTTAATTTTTGCAAGAGCCGCAGAAAGCATGGATTTATATGTAGAACACGGGTCACGTGGCAATGGCGATACGCTCTTACGTCAGAGGACCGAGAATTTGTTAAGGAAACATTTCAATTAGGTGAAACGTATGTCTGCCATTGTTGTTGTTTTTTTTTTCTCTCTCTCTCTCGGCTGCGCTTACGGATCCAAATCATTCTTCAGTACAGCGGAACATGTTTTCCGTCAAAAACTCAAAAACTTTGACTTTCGACCCAACTTTCCAACAACTGATCTCCAGAAAAATTTACACTCGTGCAGGGCAGGATTCACCTACTTGCTGCCCATGGGCCGCCTGTATTTTGCCGCCCCCTTCTCATTCGTTTTGAAACTCAATAAAAACCATCAAGTGAACGTGCCAGCAGGGGAGGGCTGCATACAACGCATTTACTCGTGTTGAACACATTTTTTGGGAGAACCCTGTCAACACTACTAGCATAAGTTCACAGAACTTTGTGCGAAAGTTAAGTTTCGTAAACCTATCTCTGTGTGGACAAGGCCTTCCATTCATACGAAATGAACGACAAAATTATGAAAGAACAAACATAAATGTGGTTCAATGATTTTAACTTCCGCCGCCGCGCCGCGCAGACCGCACCGTGTTTGGCGCAATGCGTGAAGTATTCCGACAATCTTGTAGGCGCTATGCGTTTCACGCCGACCGCACTGTGTTAGGCGCAATACTTGAAGTATTAATGCATTCTTGTAGGCGCTATCCATTTCACGCTGACCGCAATGACCGCTCTGTGTTGGATGCAATGCGTGAAGTATTCGTGCAGTCTTGTAGGCGCTAATATGTTTTACATGCCGATCGCCGCGCCGCGCCGAGGGCTTCTCTTTTTCATCTCAAGTCCTCGTCATCATTTCCCTCTAAGTCGCGTCGTTCCGGGCCAAATTGCGTGTTTGGTTTCTCTCTTAACTTGACTAATTAAAGGTGCTGTCTCTTGTATCACTCAGAGATGACAAAATTAGAAATTACTATACTCTCAGGAAATGAGAGATTGTGTCGCCTTTTCTCGTTCGTATTTTTTTTTCTAAATCCGATTTTTTTTAATACCTACACTTAAAAAAATTGCAAATTTTTGCCGCCCCTTAAATTTGCCGCCATAGGCCGCGGCCCATGTGGCCAACCCCTTAATCCGGCCCAGCATTCGTGTGCTAGGGCTTCTTTTTTCTCAGGTACATCGTCGTTTTTCATATACAAAAGAACGCGTGCAAAAACTACTTTTCAACACTGCAAAATTTCCTTTCGCGACGTGTTTAATTACTGAAGAACTGTTGGGAATTCCAACTGAAAACTC